TATATAAAAAAAATCGCTACATTCAATAATCTAATCAAACATTTTTATATCCGGCAAAAGAAACAACCATTTAATGTAAATTTCGTATAAAATTACATTAACAATTATATTTGGTTTTTGTTTCATTTTTTGTTAATGCCCGCATTTTATTTTCGTTTTTTTTTTTTTTTTTTTGTAAACGATTAGAATGAACTTTTTCAAATCACATGCCACAACAGCATGTCGATGTATTTGTTTCCGTCTTATTTTCACGCTCATTTTCTTTGAGTATTTTTTTTTAGTTTGCCCGCCAGCAGCCTGACTATGCCTAATTTTATAAAATTAAAAGTTCAGTGACGACATTTCTTTTTTTTTTGTTTATTTATTTTATGTTTGTTAATTTCTTTTATTGTATTATTTTGTTTGTTTGTTTCTATTTTCTTTGATGACAAACCGGGAAAAGCGTATTTTTCAATTCAACATTGACATTGTGATTCGAAAATTTCGTTTAGGTGAAAAAGAGAACAAAACACAGACACGCGCATGGATGATATGATATGATGACATATAGAGCTATACTATATGTGTTTTTGTTTTTCAAATAAAAAAATAATAATTTATAATAAAATAATATTAAGAATTTTTATGATGCGGCTGGATTGAAAATTGAGTCTAAATATTTGCGGCGAAATTCAAAATCCACGCATCTCATAATTAATAGATTTTTCTTACATATACCAAAAACATTAAAATTTTTGGTCAAATACATATTTGAGGTATTACCAACAAGCTAGAGAATTCAGACAGTCTGAACTCGAAAGCAATAATTTGACACTTCCCGAAGATTATGCCTTTCTCATACACACCAAAAACTTTTTCTAACTAAATAAATTTTGACTTAAAAAAATGATTCATATATTTAAAATTTTATAATTTAATATAAATTTTTGTGTAATATTTTTTGTTGCTGCTTTCTTCTCATATGGCCAACCAGTATACAATTGCATACTGGTTGATCATGTGCCTCGAAAGCATTTTTATTTTCTTCTTTCATTTCATCATTTATGTTTTATGTATTGTTATTGTAGTTATATTTTTTTTGTTAATAAGTTCGTTAACCTTTTTCGGTAATGAACTTAGTTTTGATGTGTTTGACATAATTCTGCTGAGCAAATATGGTGGTCTTTTTTACAACGGTTTTTACATTTTTTCTTTATAATGGAGCAACATTTTTTTGTAAAGTCATTACGACTATTATTTTTGTTACATACAATATGTTAAGATATGTTGTAATGTTACTATTTGTTAAGATTTCTCAACATTATTATAGCGAATTTAAAACTTAAGAATGTGTTTCTTTTTTTGTCTCACTCAAAGTAATCCGTAACTATACAAATATTTAAAATATGTTTTTTAAATTCTCAAATTGTTTAAAATTATTATTTTGTAATATTTCTGGGTTCCTCCTCATTCGATGAGTGTCGTCTTTTCAGAAAAATTTACTGCAGGTCATCGTTAGAAAATACAGGGAATATTCGGTAATTGGCAAATTAATAGGGATGCAAAATGTTACTGGAGGTCAAACTTAGAAAATATGGGGAATATTCGGTAATTGTCAAAGCTTGAATATGACTACAATGTATATAATCAAATTTTAGCGATCTTCGTACTCTTCGTAGTACGGTACGTACTTCGTTTGTAAAACAATTCGAGTCTTGCGATCGCCTACTCTTCCGAAGAATATTTCGCTCTTGTCATTCAATTTGCAACACCTCGAAATATTCACCGGAGACCCCTTAAAGTATCACCTTAAAATTCTGTGTCGATTTATGTGTATCCGTCTGTCTGTCCGTCCGTCTGTTGAAATCACCATAGGGATCTCTATATTTAAGATAGAGCTCTGAAATTTTACACAGACATTGCTTGTACACCTAGGATGTTGGGTTATATTGACTCAAGTTTCAGCTTAGCCCCCATATAACTATCCCCCATGTTTAAGGTAATCATCTTTTTCTCACCACTTTTTCGGTATATTCAATATCCTGTCATAACATGAATTTTTTCCTAGGAGCCCCCCATTTTGAATGCCATCCTCATGGTGAAGTTTATAAAATGTTCGGCCGGGCAGATGATGATGTTTATATTGAGTTAAAAATACCTCTTAAGGTTCTGCTGCCTTTTTTGTACTTTGATGTTTACAGTATGTTTAAAGTCCTAGCCAAATTTTTTCAACCTAAGTGTCCGATATTTATGTTTTGACATATTTAGCTCCAACCGATTTTGAAACCAGTGAGCAGTATAGTCGAAACTACCACGGAACTCTAACTTTCTGCGTATGCTTATTTCGAGCCTGGACAATATTTCGTGATATTTGCATCCTCTTGACCGATTAGGGATCAAAAGCACATCTTCCTTACACTGACATATTTTACGAATATTACCAATATTCAATACAGTCCTTCAAATAACTTGTCAAGATTCCTTCACCGTGGGTTTTGTTATCATGTTCGGCTTGTGGCCTATAGATCGACTAGAAAAAAATGAAGTCTACATCATCCAAAATTTTGTATGTGATAAGCATCGAAAATTATAGGCGTTGTCCTTGACCATAACTGGAACCTCTATACTTACACCCCATATACGTTATATTTCTGCCCTCTAATGTTAATGGGTTACTAAATAAAATCTGAAGCACCTATAAATATTAAAGTGTAACTCCCACACCCAAGTACATACGACAATATAATTGATATCAATTTAAAGGTCAATCACTTCTCTTGGATATACAGACAAGTTCTCGGGTCAATGTCCTTCAGGAGTGAATATATATAAGCCATAGAATACAAATTTTGTCATTTCTCACACAAAAGTCAGGGTCCATTTGACCCGCTAAATAATGACCGATCTTTATCAACACAGGCATGCTGATGCCGATCACCTTCTTCATGTAAAATCGGATCATAATTGCGGTCACAATAGGGGTCTTCATTGGGCAGAACCCATCCTACATGCAAAATTTCGCGAAGATTGGTCCATAACTGTGGCCTGTATCGTGTTTACAAATTATAATGGACAGACGTACGGACAGACACACATATCTAGATCGACTCAGATAGTTGAGATATGGTATACTTAAAGGTGGGTATAGTACTAATATTTCGAGGCGTTACAAACTCTTGGGGCTGCACAAACCTATAATACCCTACACAACTATGTTGTCAGTATGTCTCAGTTTCGATCTTCATCTCTTTATTCGAAAAACGTTTCTTAATTGCGATCGTTTTTCTTCTAATCTGTGAACAGAAAATAATTGCTGGGGCATGGCTGGAGAAGATATGGTTGTAGAAGCAATCCACTTCGTTCCGATCTACCCACACTATTGATGATGTTTCATTCGGTCATTGAAACCCATTCAAACCAATCTTTTTTTATGATATTTCGCGAGTTTTGCCCTGAAACTGGTAATCAACCAAGTTTTACCACAACAGTTAATTTTCTTTTTCCTTCAAAATCAAAATTTTATTTTTATTATTTGACAATAACAAAAATTTGTCATAAATAATAAACTATATCTGTCAAATCGTGTGTTTTTTAATTTTAGTAGCTGGCCAGGAACTTTTCAATAGATTTCTTCTATTTCTTTATACATCTAGCTGTAATAGCTACTGTCTTATGTCATATTTAAAGATTTTTAATTATTTAATTTCCCTAATCTACTTTTTTAATATTAAAAAATTCGCATATTTTAGTTTCTTAAAAAATGTGTTTTTTTAACAGTTTTTAATAATATTAAATAACATATAGGTTCTTAATTTTTATGGACATATTTTTTGGTATTTAATTTTATTCCTATAACCAAAATATAAGTAGTAACCCTTGTAATCTTCTTGCATCATCTATAATACCTATGACTCGTCTTTGAAGTATTTTTCCTTATAAATTTTTGTATTCCTCACTTCCCGACAAAAGTTTTTCCTAAAATCTTATGAAATTTCACACCCTAAGAAGAAGTGGTCGCCACCCATCAGCCCTCATTGTGGTTAGTAGGCACATGGCCTCCCATTATATATGCTGATGATAATAAATGGTTTTAATTGTGATTTATTTAGTTGTTTTTTTTTTTCTTTTTCATAATTTTCTAACACACTTTTATTTATTTATTCATTCAATTATTTAATTTTTAAAGTATTGCATAATATATTTACTTAGTGTTTTATCATCCAAAAGTTTATTTGTATGTATGTATATAGGTATATCGTTCGGGGGTCTTAAGATATTGGAGCATTTTCATAAATGTCTAAGTATCTGCCAACATACTTCTTATCACTGAGGGCCATTTCAAATACAATTTGCTCTAACTCAGTTTCTCTTTCTCTCCAATTGACGAGGTGGAAAACACAAACAAACCTTTTGTTCATAATTTGTGCCGAACCCCCTTCCATCGTACTTCTAGTTTAGTTTAGTTAATTTATATCACATGTTTAGCATTAAATTGCTAAATGACTTTGAAGGTGTGTACCAACCACCACCATCAACGAAACAGCCAGTCATCCACATAACTAGTAGTATGTCAGTCAACTAGCCAAGCTATATTATTTCACAGCTACTACTTCTACGACTGACTTGAGTACATTTTGCATAGGTGGTGTTGTTCTCCATGTTGTTGTCAGACCATCTTCAATTTCTTTTTTAGCATTTTATTATGATTATTTTATTAATTTTGTCGTGTTCTCATTTTCATTGTCTCTTTTTTTCTGCGTTTTAGCTTCTTTCTTGTATTATTTTTTGTAACCTAATTCTTGAATAGTCGTTGTCGTCCATATCATATTTTGTATTTTACTTTTTTGTCAGTTAGTTATTATGACCAACATATTTTTTTATTTTTCTTACGTATGTTCTAACTTTATTACCAACATTTGTGTTATAATAATATTTTTGTTCTTCTTCTTCTCGTTGTTTTCTTCTTTTTATTTTTCCAAAAAACTTTAAAATAATAATTTCTAGAAGTTATGAACTATTCTTCTCCCTCAAAACATCATTCTCTTGAGATCATTGCGGCGGCGCAATTAAAAGCCCGACACAGAATTCAACAAATAATAGAAAAATTGAAGCGTAATGCTCTCATAAATTATGAAAAGTGTAAAAAGTAAGAAGCTAAGTACATTTTTTCAAATTATATTGCTGTTTTTGGTTGTTGTAGTTGTCTTTAGTCGAATATCACACATTAGATGCTTTTTAGAATATGTTGTAATTCAAATCACTGTTTTTGTAGTTTTAGAGCTTTTAACAGTCTCACTAATGTGTCGAACATAGAATATTATTTTTTGGTTTCAGAATTGAAGTTCTAGTAACTACTACAAAAATTACCAACAAATAAGAGTTAAATTAAAATGTACCTCAGAATATGAATTCACACGTTTTTTTTTCTCAATATTCGGGTTTTAATCAACTTCAAAATATGTTTATATTTGTTCAAAATACTTTTTTTTTCGAATTGAAAAATTCTTCTGAGAACATGAAATATTCTTTAGCCACATTTGATTCTCAATTTTGTCTTCCAAACCGAAAAGACGTATTGTAATATTTTTTTTCCATATTGTCAAGAAATACCAATTTAGAAGATCTGATGTCGGTAGAGGAATGGGCTTTATCTGAAAATGTACCACCTGTCAAAGCAGTCGATACACGAAAATCCAAGGGAATGAATCAAAAATCACCAGAAGGCTCTTATCAGGAGGATTCATTTCAAAATTTTGTAACATTCCATAATTCTTCAAAGTCCAGGAATATCAAAACCATATGAAAAGCTAAGAAAACCGTTTTAATCCAAACAATCAAGAATATGTGAAATACCTTTATAGCTTGTTTCCACGACAAGGGGTTCCACGATCCGAAACGATCCGAGTCTTTCTCTACCAACGGTTATCACCACAGTCCATTGTTTAAAAACAGTAGGGCTGCTACAACAACAACAACAACAAACTCTTCTTGTCTCGGAATCATTCTGTCGACGTGCAGTTGGTTTTTCCCCCTTCCCCAAGATTCACATACTGTCTTGAGTTGGAGGAGTTGTGGGGAGAGGTCAAAACCCACATTGTGTAGATAAATACTGTCCATACATTGTCCGAAAACCGTGAAACTCAGCAAACACACACGCATTAGCGAGGTCTCTTTAGTTTGGTAGTGACTTTATGTAGAATTGCTTATTTGGGTACGTCAATTCCGCCTCGGCGATCCTGGGAGTTTTTTTTTACTTCTGACCACCGTCTATAGTTTCATAATTTGCAATTTGTTTTAAGGAGTTCATAGAACTCAGTTGGTTTATAAAGTCCACTGGGTCTTTATTTTCATATAGAAGCATCCTGGAATTTAACATGCCAATAAACATTCCAGATCATCGATTCTACCTTTTTTTGGCCCTCAGCTCGTCAATAAGATTCCTTGGCTTTCAGATGGTTAATAAAATCTACTCTCAGTATATCTATAAAGATTGCGTTCATCAAGACAATAATATCGGTTTCTGGATTTGCCTCCAAGTTCGGAAATGCGGCTATTGTTTACATTTCCGGTCTAAATGCTCTCGATTTCTCAAAATATTCTTCAATTTTTTGCCATGCTCGAAGAACCAAAAGACAAACATTGAATAATAATTGAAAAAAGTAATTCAAATTTATAAATAAAATAGGCAATTTTTTTCTATTTATAAGCAATCGAAAAAATCATGCCGATGATGATGTCGATGTTGTGGCAAAACAAATCAGTAATGAATGGTTATTGATAGTGGGTCACAAAGAGTACTAGGTTAATTAACATAGCAACAAAAGTTTTTTCTTTCCTAGCTTTTGTATTAAAATAAAGCCGCTCCAAAATCTCTTAAGTACCCACAGACTGCAACAAATAAGTAAATGCATTTGTAATCCAATACCACAAACAAAAAATGAAATGAAACGAACGAACAAACCTATCATTGCGTTTATGACGCTGTCTGCTAATTGAAGAAACCACCACCACCAGCATCCTCATCTTCCACATCAAACAAAAAGTGGTCATTCAAAAAAACGGCAACATAGTTGTGCATTGAAGAAAGGAAAACTTACAAAAGAAACTATAATAATAACAACAACAAAACAGAGCACAACTTTATTAAAGTCGATTGGAATCCATTCAAGCATTTTACATGCATGATATGCAGCGGCATTTATTGTTGTAGCACCATTAAGAAAGCAAATGTTTTGGAGTACGTCTCCACTACTACTGCTGCGCTAGGCTCTTCTAGTCGTCAGGCAGAACTATAACGTTTTGACTGAGCATCTCTCAATAAATGAAAATGCGCCAATATTTTTCTTCAAGTAGTTTCAAGAATACAAAAAAAAATCAGAATCTACGATGGAATGGAATTGAGTCGAATTGCGTGCGTGTATCTGTATGATTTTTTCTTTTAGTTTTCAAAGAAAATTGTGGAAAATCGCAATAAAGAATCAAGTAATTGTTGCCAATTGAAAGATTAAACAAAATAGAATTGATCGGATGGTATATACGAGGGCTACTTCCTGACCTATTAAAGAAAAAATCGGAACACTGATTATGAAAAATGCTTCTATTGTTTATACCCTTCACCACACTGTGGTTTTTGATGACGATAATCGTCGAACTCGTTTTTTTTACTTGCAAGAAGAAAAAATTGGACTGCAGGCCTACACGGCTTATGATCCATTAATTTCTTATTTTGGACGGCCACAAAGACACTGATTTGAGTCGATGGTTAATATCTCACATTGCCATGATACAGAAAGGTTCGTCTTCTCTTGTTCGATTTGCTAAATTTCTCCGAATATAAATTTAGGTTTACCACTCCGATTCTACACCTCCGTTGGACAACGAAACAGTTGTCACAAGACCAGTTTTGCCAAGGAATCAGGCGATAATTTGCTTCCAAATGAACAACGAACAACTTTTGTGCGATTTGATATATCTTCGAGTTCTGAGTTTGGAAAATTGTCGATGTAGGTTTCAAGTATGAAGAAGGATGGACATATTCAAATATTCTCCCATTGTTTCGATGAAGCAGTACATTAATTTTTTCAGAAGGATGGACAAATTCAAATATTCTCCCATTGTTTCGATGAAGCAGTACATTAATTTTTTCGGTGATGTCCTCCTTTAAACGTCATATTCTCCTCCTTCACAATAGTCGCTATTGATTGACCTTTTCTAGGTAGTCATAGAAAGCCATTTAAAGAACATCCCAAACTTGTCAAACAATTTTTGAGTCTTACACGATATGGTCGAGTTCGTCGTCTCCACCATGGATGATTGTTAATTCAACTTCTACAAAGACTCCCATCAGCTCGTCTATAAAGACACCCTTCAGTTCGTCTATAAAGACTCCCTTCAGCTCGTCTATAAAGACACCCTTCAGTTCGTCTATAAAGACTCCCTTAAGTTCATATATAAAGACTCACATAAGTTCGTCTATAAAGACCCCCTTCAGCTCGTCTATAAAGACTCCCTTCAGCTCGTCTATAAAGATTCCCTTCAGCTCGTCTATAAAGACTCCCTTCAGCTCGTCTATAAAGACTCCCTTCAGCTCGTCTATAAAGACTCCCTTCAGCTCGTCTATAAAGATTCCCTTCAGCTCGTCTATAAAGACTCCCTTCAGCTCGTCTATAAAGATTCCCTTCAGCTCTTCTATAAAGAATGCGTTCTGCTCGTCTATAAAGACTACCTTCAGCTCTTCTATAAAGAATGCCTTCTGCTCGTCTATAAAGACTACCTTCAGCTCGTCTATAAATACACCCTTCAGTTCAGCCCTTCGGATCGTCTATAAAGACTCCCTTTCTTTTGCAATATGCTACGTTCTTGGACCATAAAATGAGGTGTGATAAGATTCATCAACGTCGAATAAAATTAAGAACCGAACTTTGATTAAAAATACGTATCCTGACAGACACTAATTTATCGACCCAAAATATGACCCCCATTCATTAGTTTCATTTTCAATTAATTGGAAATTGTGAAATTGTATAGAATAGATGTAATTTGTCTTTTTAATATCCATGTTTCACAAATTTTGTCTTACCGATTAATACCCCCACCTCCTCCTATGTAATGCTTTTATTTCAAAATTAAAATAAATAAATATTTAAAATAATTTTATAATTTTTTCTGCTTTATTTCCAGGTGGTGCCTTTGAGGGTGTTATCGATGATAATGTTTCACCATTCGGTTATATGAAGGGTGAGGGTATTGATGCCGGCTATGGTGAACACGATTGGATTTGCAATAGAGATAAGGAACGCACAGATTCTATTTTTAATAAACTTGGACCTGTTGATGGCAAAATTTCTGGCCAAGGTGAGTGATACAAAAATAAAGTACTGTGATTCTGATATTAATTGATTTTTTCCCTCTTTTCCAGCTGCCAAACAAGAACTTATCAAATCCAAATTACCCAATTCAGTGCTTAGTAAAATTTGGAAACTATCCGATGTTGATGGTGACGGTTTCCTAGATTCGGATGAATTTGCCTTAGCCCTACATTTAATCAATGTCAAATTGGAGGGCAATGAATTGCCTAATGTGTTGCCCGATCACTTAGTGCCACCATCGAAACGTTGCTAATTTTAAATTTGGTGTTGGTGTAGAGTAGAATGTTGTAGAACGACAATAGCGCAACAACAAAAACACACTGTTACCCGCAACAACAACAACAGCAAAATAACACATAAAACCACAACAGATCCTTACAAACATACACCCAATGTTTTTCATGTTAGTTTGTTCTTTAATTTTGTTTCTTTATTTCTAATTTAAAAATCGAGTCTTTCTTTTGATAAGTCAGCAACAGAAGAAGTAGCACAAACAAATCGCCTTTGCATGCATTATTGTTTTTTATATTAAACGTTTTCTTTCTTTTGTTTTTTGGCGAACCAACATATTCATCTAGCATTATGTAATTGTGTACATAGCACTGTAAACTAGGCCCAAAAATACCGAAATTATTAAAACAATATATTGAAAAAATAAAACAATTGTTTTTTGTTTCTTTTTTTTAAAGGTTTGTTTCTGTAGAATTCAATTCGAATGAATTCAAATCCGTTTATTTCGTATTTTACAGAAACAGACTGGAAATGTCCTTTTTTGTGTGAGTTGTTTTTAGGGAAATATATAAAACACTAAGAGAAAAAAGTTGAAAATGTAAAATTAATCAGATTTTCAAAAAAAAAAATAAATGAATAACATTTTGGCATTGAAAATATTCTATTTATAAAATACAATTTTGTAAGGTAAAAACTAAATCGAAAAATAAATGTTACTTATTGGATTTATTATACATATACAAAAATTCAAAACAAAAATGAACATTTATACACATATTTATACATACAAAGAAAATTCTAAATACGATTCCAAACATATAATATTTATTCGAGTAATTTGCAAAGCATTATTCAAATTCTATAAATCCCAAAAATGTTATGTGCAATTATTATTTTTTTGTACTTTTTCCCTTGTTTTCCTCTTACCTTCCTTTTAATTTGTTTATGTATTTTTTAAACACACCTTAGTTGTTCATTCATAATCCACTTTACTTTTAAAAATAAAATAGTTTGATTTGATATAAAAAAGTATACAGAAATCGCCTTAACCTATTTAATTTCTTTACAATTAATTTTAGTGAAATAATTATTTAAAAACAAAAAATAATAATAATAATACGTTCAACAAGTAAAATGAAATAAATATATATTATACGAAAATAAGTGTACTATTTTTTCAAAAAATATATACATACATTTTTGTAAGAATAAAATAATAAAAAAACAAATGTGAGTTTTTACTTCACAAAGATATATATGTTGATTTAAATACGAGAAGTGTAGAAGGATTCACCATTGGTGTCAATTATTGCTGTTATTGCTTCCACAAAAATCTTAAATAAATCGAACATAATAACATTTTTACAATACAAGAGTACTATCAATTGTAAAAAAAATTGAGGGCCTCCAGAAAAAACTCTGCGAATTGTGTGAAAATTTTGAACTTTAAATATAAATAGATATCAAGCATTATTAGTTCACTTTCAAAGTGTAAACATCTGGTCTATCCTTTATTTGCAGATTTTATTTTGCAGATTTTATTTCTGCAGGGTCTGCATTTATAGTCATTTAATTAGTATTTATGGAACAGGAAGAAACAATGACAAATGTTTCGTTTCTTTGTATTTTTGCCGTTACTTCACGTACTTAAGCCCAATTAAAGAAATAAATTCTTCGACTTTGGTTTACATTTTGCGGGAAATGCCCATATCTCAAAATTTGGAAGCTTAACAAAAGATATAAAAGAATTAAGATAATAATACATTTTACTGACAAACATTTCAATGTTTGCCGCGCTTCACTCGGAGACCAATGGCCCATTTGATTCATTGTGAAATGAAAATAAACACGTGAGAAAGCGTTAAGTTCGGCCGGGTCGAACTTTGTATACCCTCCATCATAGATATTCTGACAGGTACTTGAAATAAAAATATAGGGAACATAGGGAACCGATTATGGTTCTAAATATTGGTCCTAGACCCCATGTTTCTTTGTGCCAAATTTTTTTAAAAAAATTTTGATTTCATCCAAACTTTGCCCATCTTATTATTTCTTCCAAAATTAGTTCAAGTCCGAACATGGGGGAATATCGGTCCACTCCTTCTGGTACCTCTCACACAGGGGCTAGGGCTAAATGCGGGTTACAGTTCACATATATATAAGGTTAATTATCGAACCTTATGTTTTTTTTCGTATCTTCCGCAGATGAAATGATTACAACAGAGTCTTAGAATCAAACCCAAACACGGAACAAATCATATAACTATTTTAATTTTTGATAGGGAGATATGTTGACATATAAGACTACAAAATACCAAATAGAAGCGAATTTGGTTGAAAAACGCGCTCAAATACGCCAAAATAACGTAAGTTGGGGGTACCCTTATATGGGGGCTATCCGAAAAAATGGACCTATATTTATAATTTTTTGGTGGAGAGATTTGGTATCTATTAAGAAATCAAAGTACTAAATTACAGTCAATTCGGTGGGAAAATACGATCAAAACCTCCAAAAAATGAAAATTTGAGGTTCCCTTATTTGGGGGCTACCAGAAAAAGTAGACCTATATTTATATTTTACATTAGTACCCAATAAGAACCCAATGTACCAAATTTCAGCGTATTCGGTTGAAAAACGCGCTCAAGAACCCCAAAATACCGAAAATTGTGGGTACTGTTATATGGGAGCTATGTCTAAACGTGAACCGATATATCCCATATTCCTGCCTGCAAACAAAAGACAAACCTATGGAAAATTTTAGAAATCTAGAAATCTAATTCTGCAGTACCTTGTTATGATCCCAACAGTTAGTTTCACCTACACTCTATTCAGAGAAATCAATCAATATCAAAAAATCAATCGTCTAGAAATATTCGACCATATAGATTTTGAGGTACTGTTTTGAAATTTTGCACATACATTGCTAGTATTCCCAGTATGTTTGATATTGCAGATGGGATATATCGGTCCACGTTTTGGTATAGCCCCCCTATAACGGTATCTCCCAATAATGGGGATTTTGGACACGTTTTCCCACCGAATTGGCTATAATTTGGTATTTTGGGTTCTCATGGTATAGCACATCTCTTTACCAAAATATATACAACAAACGATATACAACTTGCTTGTGTGACTGTTATTCATCTTCTGACATTCACGAAAATATTCATAGTATTTGGACAGCAAGTG